TCTGTCTGTCTGTCTGTCTGTCTGTCTGTCTGTCTGTCTGTCTGTCTGTCTGTCTTTCTGTCTCTAAATACATTTTCAGACCCATCGAAAAGACAAACACACAGATAAAAAAGGAACAGAACAAAACTCCAAACTTGCCAAAACCATTCTGCCTTGCAGTTGTTTATATTGACGTTCTAGTTTTCATTAGTATCTCTAGAAGATTATTCTACTCCAATGAAGTTCTTGAAATGACCCCTTTGTATAGTACGGAAAACCAAAGCACTTTCTAGATGATCATCGAAAAAGGATCTTCAAATTAACCTACAGCCGAGATAAAATTAATTTCATCTCCCAGACTTTATTTCGTCTCTTAAGAGAAGAAAACCAGAGATTTCTCCGTCTTTATGATATGATTATTATAAACTTTTCTAGATCTACTGTAACTGTTCTCAGTTTTAAATAAACGTTGATCTTTTGGTAGAGAACAGAGGTTATGATTACAGTTTGAAATGTTTCTTTGCAAAGCTTAAAGTTATGACACCGATGGCAAGCATGAGCTTTGCTAATAAATTTGTAGAGGTGCAAATTGTCTAGGAAAGTACAGTGTTTAGGTATGAAGCAATATCTTTCTGCATCAAGCGAATTGCGTAAAGGCAACACGGATTCTAAGGACATGACTAGAACAGACAACTGCTGCGATGTGTGGTGATATAAAGGTGCTAAGTAGAGCATTCAGGAGATTTGTTTGATCCCAGCGAGAGAAGGGTGGTAAACTGAAACTGTAGTGGCTCTCGTGGCCGAGAGGTTAAGGTGTTGGCCTCACATTCAAAAGGTCCCGCGTTCGAATCCGGGTAGCGACCGAAAAAAAAATTCGTCTTAAAAATTGTCTCCTTTCACCTCCTTTCCTGCTCTCTTGCAATGTTCTGTCGTCTGCTTTCGTCTCCTCTTTCTGCCCCCCCCCTCCACCTCCTTTGCCCCCTCCTCTGGGCTCCTGACTCTTTCTGTAGCATTTCTACTGCTACTCCTTGGCTTCTTTTTACTGCTGTCTTTCAGTCACACCCCTGACCTTCTGGTAGGAAAGATCTACACCTAGCCTTCTCGGTCAAGGGCGGAAAATCTCGGAGGGCCCGTGTGCAAGTTGTGCACGTTAAAGATCCCTTAGTGGTCTAAAATCGATAAGAGTAGGCTTCGGCCGCCACCTGGGCAAAATTTCCTACCAACTGAAAAAGTTATGAGTCCCGCGCGCTCATTTGACCTTAAGCAGTTTCGAGCACCGCAGAACACTTACCAGATAAAATAAATCAACTCAAACAACGTAATGTATTTTGCATGATGGAAAGTCTGCATTGCGGGGCACTACCTATCAAAGCTCGTGAGCAAAGCGTTCTAAATGACATGGATAGAATGTGTACTCACCACGAAGCTGTGATGATGTCGTTGTCGTCTCAAGGTCGTCACCATTGTCGTCATCATCTTCATCTTCATCATCATCATCATCGTCGTCGTCGTCTTCGTCGCTTCTCGGAGCCGTTCTTTTCTTCCAGGCCTTCATCTTTCATCGAAGGTTGCTAAGTCGAGCAATCAAAGCTTCAGTCACCATTTTGTTTTCATCACAGCTGATGTAGCTTTATCTTCTCTGCCACAGTCGTCAGCCACACTCGGTTCAACTGTTTCACATTTCTCGGCACAGAGTCGTAAGATCTGTTGTTTACGATGACATCGAACACTGTCACAAGAAATCTCAAGTCATTCTTATAGTGCGGTGGCCACTTGGTTGGGATCTAAGTCTTAAAGTGTTAAGTGTCAGTTCAAATGTCTTATTTTCCCTCATGGCATAAACTATCTGCGGGCAGGAGTGCGCGGCGAGGTCAGCTCATCTGATCCCTGTGGTGTTGTGGCACAAAGCAGTCTGTGGAAAATGAACATTGTTAAAGCGCACTGCTTCTTTTGTTGCCTCCTACTGTGTTTGGTCTACCTTATAAATCACCGCGCTTATAAGGTGGTGATGCCACACGATGATGAGAGAGGCTGGTGAACGGATTGTGGCACTGCCAGAGATAGAGAGAGAGAGAGAGAGACAGAGAGAGAGAGAGAGAGGGAGAGAGAGAAAGAGAGAGAGATGGAGAGAGATGGACAGAAAGAAAGAGAGAGACAGAGAGAGAGAGAGAGAGAGGGATGGACAGACACACACGCAGACAGAGAGAGAGAGAGAGAGAGAGAGAGAGAGAGAAAGAGAGAGAGAGATTTATAGATAGATAGATAGATAGATAGATAGATAGATAGATAGATAGAGAGAGAGAGAGGGAGAGAGAGAGAGAGAGAGAGAGAGAGAGACACACACACACAGAGAGAGAGAGAGAGAGAGAGAGAGAGAGAGAGAGAGAGAGAAAGAGAGAGATAGATTTATAGATAGATAGATAGATAGATAGATAGATAGATAGATAGAGAGAGAGAGAGAGAGAGAGAGAGAGAGAGAGAGAGAGAGAGAGAGAGAAGCAAACCACCCGATCAGCTTCACTCCCCACGATGACGTAGACCATGTAGAACCCAGCAACAACTGTCTGTGACATTGTCTCTCTTTGCCTATCACGATATGTCCCACGGATCTTTGTCTGTCTTTATCAGTATGTTTCAGTTAGTGGTATGAGATTATGAGAACTCTAAGTCTTGTGGTTGACTCCGCGATCTGCACCTGGACTTTTGTTTTCTGATCATCTTTGTTGCAGAAATTCAGTAAATGTCATTGACTCCGTTCATATTTCAAGTATGCCCAACTTGTAAAAAAAACATTGGTCTAAGCTCGTTGGAGGCCGCCATTGATAGGTCCTACATCTCTACTTTCCCTGTGTCTGTCTGTCTGTCTGTCTGTCTGTCTGTCTGTCTGTCTGTCTGTCTGTCTGTCTTACTTTTCCCCAGCACTAGAGGACCACTTTTGTTTCTTTGTGCTTCTCTTTACTAAAACAAACAAATCTTCTGAGCTTCCCAATTTCACTGTTACTTTTTTTGGAAATCCTTTCCATCCTGTTATTCTTCCTCTTTCTTCCAGCGCCATAACTCGCTCTCTGAACATTCCTTTCCTTCTCTCTCTCCGTCTTTATCACGGTTTATTTAGGCGTCTGTTATTTGTGCGTCTGCGTATTTCTCTCTCCCCCCCCCTCTCCCTCTCTCTCTCTCTCTCTCTCTCTCTCTCTCTCTCTCTCTCTTCCTCTCTCATTGTGTCCCTTTGTCACCGTCTGCAGATGTGATAATTTACGTTATTTATACCTACCTACCTCACTGGTGAGAGTGTGCTTAGGTCAGCCTCCGCGGCGTTGATTGACCCTCTCCTCTCTCTCTCTCTCTCTCTCTCTCTCTCTCTCTCTCTCTCTCTCCCTCTTGCCCTCTCTCTCTCTCTTTCGCTCTTTCTCTCTCTTAGGCAGCCAGCGACGGTCGAATCGACTGTCTTTAAGCATCGAGCCGGTGTTCTTTTTATATCTTCTCTCTCTTAACCTTATATTCCTGTCAAACAATTGCCTCGAGCATCGATCGTGTGCCGGAGCGATTATGATGGTCTGACAAAGTTGAGGTATCATTGAGCAGCAAGTTCGTTGAGTGGCGTGTTGGGAGAAGCGAAGTAGACTTCTTATTTATTGTGGGCATGGCACTGAGCTTGAAAATGTCAATAGCGTCTTCGTCTGTTGATCTCTCTAAAAATATCGTTTCCTGTCGGTGAGTCATAATAATGAGACGCGAGAGGTACAACAGTTTTGTTGAACCGGTGAGCTGTTTCATTTCGTGTCAATTATTGTGCGTTTCTGTTCACAGCTAAGATATTTAGTTTCGTCACAAGCTTTTGCGCTTTCTCCAGTGTTACAAGTAAGCACCCTTCATAAACCTACAGGGAATGATGTTTAACGTTACGAATATGATAATGCTACATTTTTAAAATAGCTGTTGTTGCTTTCGAGTGTCTATGACATCACATCCACTGCCTCAGACAATCGCGATAGATGAGTGTAACAGTAACAAACAGCAACTGTAGCCGCTATGGCAACTTATACTCTGCCACTACAGTCATGATTCCAGCAACTAGAGTTTTTATAAGTGCTGTCACTACCATCTTCAACACGATTACCATCACCACAAATAACCTCATTGCTGATACAATGTACTGCTATCGTCACTACTTTCACTACTAATGCTACTACTATTGCTACTGCAACTACTGCTGTTACTGCTTCTACTATTGCTGCTACTGTTGCTGCTACTACAAGGTACTGCTGCTGCTTCTGCTCATGCTGCTGCTGCTGCCGCGCAATTAATCAATAGCAGGCAGGCAGGCAGCGAGGTTCTCGGAGGTAGTGCTGATCGCTCTCGCTTCCGGCCAAATTAATGAGCCTCTAATTTGCTAGAACCGGGCAGCATCGCGTGCTTCGGGTCCGGCGGGCGAAACCTCACATCACAGTGCTCTTGGTGAGGGAAAGTCACAAATAAAAAAGCCAATGACGTCAAGTCTAAGAGAGACTTGTATAATTCAATCCTACTTTTACATAAACTATTGTTACTCAAATTGAAATGGATCAGCGCGGTGTATTCCTCAAGAGAAGCAAAATAACCGTCTCTATCCCCCCCCCCTCCTCCTATCCCTCCAATCCATCCACCATAAACCACCCACTCCAATTATTGCCCTTTGTTTTTTTGCCGACATCTTCACTGCGTCATAGACTTATTATATTCTGCTCGAAGCTGAGAACCCTCGCATGACAAGAATCCTGTAATGTGGGTTTTCTCGCCCTTGTGGCTCCTGCCTGCAGTGAACGGAACTCACTCGGCGTGGCAGGCATAACATTCCACCCCAGCTAGCTCTTGCCTGCCAGCGGGTGACACCTCCCCCCCCCCCCGTCCTTATACCACGGATAGGTGACTCCTACAGCTATCCCGGGCTTCCGGACACGGTCCCATGAGAGAGAGAGAGAGAGAGAGAGAGAGAGAGAGAGAGAGAGAGAGAGAGAGCGTGAGTGTAAACCAGTGACTCACAGTCGATGAACTCAGGCTAGATGACGTGTGAATCATCAATTTGGAGAATCGATCATCAAGTGGAGTCATAATCATTATTCGATTAGCATAATACCACGGCTCAGGTAGAGTGCTTGGCTAGAGAGGTATGGAGTATTAATGCTGGTCTAATCTTGTTAATAATACTTGGGCTCTGGTCTTTTTTCCAGTTTTTAATTGGTGACTCTTGGAACAGAAAGAGCACTAAAAGACGGCAGTGATATACCAGAAATCATTGTCATTAGTTTCTGTCTATCTATCTATCTATCTATCTATCTATCTATCTATCTATCTATCTATCTATCTATTGAGATTTTTAAATCAGTGTTCAACCCAACGGACAGAAAAAAATCAATTTGAACTGCGAACAAAAACTATACTGATACTCAGAAATCATCTGAAAACCAATTAGAAATTACACAAGTTTTAAGTAATCATTTTCAGAAGCCAAAATGTGAACTGGAAGAGCTCAAAAGGTGATGCCATCTTTCTTTCTTCTTCTTCTTCTTCCTCTCTCTCTCTCTCTCTCTCTCTCTCTCTCTCTCTCTCTCTCTCTCTCTCTTCTTTAATCTCTCTTTGTTACATTCAAATCAAACGGCAATAACTTACATATTGATTACTAGGAGATAATTAGGTCTTCCCACTCGTATTAACATTGATTGCAAATGTCCTTGTATCTAGAGTTTTCGTACTTTGCTCTGAATCCAACTCAACTGTTTGAAGTAGCAACCAGTAACGTGTAGAAGAAGGGTACAGTGGGTGATGAAATGATTTTAAAGCACACCCTGACAGATTCTTCTTCAGTGAGGGCCCTCAATTAACCACAAATTAATTAATGCTTTGGTAGAAGTTAGAGTTCAGTATTGTTATTTTCTGGTTTCATGATAACATACATATTGATCTCATTTAATACCTTGTCCTGCAATTGATTTGAAGTGAGCGTAACTCTCAAATGACAAAACCAATGTAGCTATTGCTCCTATCGCAGTGATGTATTGTATGATTTGACATTGCAAGAGACACTGCGGCTCTATGGTTCCACGCCAATTCCGGGTAAGTTTGTGCCACGGTTACGTCTGAAGTGAACTTAGTTTGGTCCTAAACCGCACTGCTAGAGCTATATAGCCTATATATATATAAATGGAGGTCATTAGCATTGTTGTTTGCCGCCATGGTAATACTGATTTAAACAGCAAAAAGCCCTCTTTTTGTTGGTTTCAGCGAATTGGTTGCTGTTGTTGTCGCTGCTGCAACTGCTGCTACTGTTATTATTTGCTGTTGTAATTGCTTTGGTTTTTTTTAAGATACAGAATTGTTTTCTTTCACCCAGAGAACCCACGGGTCAAGAAGTCTTGGGAAATGCCCAAGGAAAGATAGAAGGAGAGGCAGAAATCTTGCAAGCGCCTTTCCTTCCGTTTTTGAGAAGCCGTATCAGTTTTGTTTTCGTGCTCGTGTCAGGAAACGAGATCTTCGCTCACACTTAACAGCTGAAGAGTTGGAACAATGATAACAGTGTCAAGTGTGTGTTCTTTGTTTAATTCTTTACTATCAGGTTTGACGAAGTCAAGTTCTCCATTGGACAAAAAATTGGTAATCGCGAAATAAGAACACTTTGTGCCTCGGACGAAGACAGAGGGAGAGGCCATTATCGGAGAAGGGGAAACAATCATTTTGGAGCCCACTAGGTCAGAAACATCAAACTCCTGCCTGTAATAACTCAGATTTGTCAAATAAAAATAGCCATGGCGGCAGGTACCACAGTGAATGGTAGGTGGAATCATATCAAAATTTCCTTCTGGGATGATAAAATATGATCTTATCTTGTCTTATCTTATCATTGTCCAGCGAGAGAGGTCATTGCGTTGACCTTCAAAAGGGCAGGGGATGAATCATCTTAGAATAAATAGGGAAGACTATTTCTTCCTGAGACATAAGAACGGCTTTGTGTGTTAATCTGTCGCTGGAGAACCGCTCTCGTTTTTGTTCTGAATTCGATAAGAATCACGTGATGACTCTCTTTCGGAAAGTGAACATTTGTCGCGTTGTGCCTCAGTCGTAAAATCTGCGAACACAGGCTCGTGCTTCAGGATAAAGGCTCAAATTGACAAACAGTTGGACTTTACTTGATGCAAATATCTCCCGTATCTTTCTAAGATCATGAACTAGCTCTGCTTACATGCGTACGTGTTTTCATTTTTGACCGTCGTTTTTCGCTTTTAGGTTGAAATAAATTGCCATGTTAGATTTGAGAAAAGTGCTAATTGTATTTAGCCAGTCGAATTTATATGTGCATCCGTTTTTTAAGAAGGATATTAGATCCTACTTTTGACTACTTCATTTTTGGTATCTGTCTTAACTCCGTCACTTTTTCAAGATTGCAACAAACTTCAACAAAGTACCAGTTTTCTGGAAACATCAATGATCTACGATCTGCACGTATATCGTAATGCCATAAATTGTTCCTCTAGAATACAATATTTTGACCTGATATTGAACAGAATGATATGTCCCTACAGGTCTGTAGTTTGAAGGGAACTTTTAAAGTATTTATGCGAATAAAATAATCTAAACAAATCTGCTTCATTCGACTTTTCCAATTGCAAGGGCATACAAAGCTGATGATCACAAAATATCAAAAGTAAAAGTTTTAAAAAATCCCTAGTAAAATTGTGTTATTCTTTTTTTTAAAATAAAGAATATTTCTGAAGACATTCTAAGGTAAAAAATATCTCAGATGAAGCTATGGTGCCAAGAATACTTTTTTCGTTTTTCATTCTAATACATCCTGGGTCTCATAACCATTAATATCACAACAAAACTTTGATAAAGGCATTGTCAAAGAAGGAAACATAACATTGCTATAGAGAGAACAAAGGCAGGGAGCGTCTGCGCAGGAAATTAATATTGAGTCGAGCTGAAGCAGCGGAATGAAAAAGTCAAGGAAAGAAGAAAATCAATGTCATCTCAGGATTATCTCTTGCAAAGGGACGAGAAAAATGTCACCTGTGACGTTATAGCATTCTTTCAGGAAACGTTTGAACGAAACCTCGATGAACTTAAAAATGAATAATGGTTGTTGCTTTTTTTGTTTTAAAGAAATGATTACATATCTTAGGCAGGAATGAATTGCCTGATAAATGGAAAAGAGTAGAGCATTGTGATAGACCGTTGCCTCCAGTGTTCATATTGAACACGTATAGAGACGTTTAAAGGAATTTGGAGTATAGTATTCTTGAAGTTGCCATTAAAATTCAAAGATGATGCAACGCCAAATCTTGACTTTTTTATATTTATGATAAGAATACCTGTACAAACCTAAGGCCACTTGCGTAGTACACAGTTTGCCATCCTCCAAGAGAGGGAGACGTTGCATAAAGCTCGTTGCAGCAACCAGAAGACAATTTCAAGCCTCAGCTACATCAGCATCACCATCTTCATCGTCATCGTCATTGTCGTCGTCGTCCTTGCATCATCATCTTCAGCAGCAACGATTCTCAACCTCAACCGACGACAGGAGGTAAAAAGAAAAAGAAGAAGACGAAGACGAAGAAGAAGACGAAGAAAAAGAAGAAGATGAAGCTGCCGGCTCCAGCACCATCACCACCATCATCAACACCATCAGCACCACCATCATCAGCAACAACGACAGCAGCAACGACAGCAGCAGCAGCAGCGGGACCGGAGTTTTCCAGCGGTGGGCGGAAGTGTCTAGAAACGCGTCCGGATGAGGAAGCTGTCGTAGTTGCTCTGTCCTGCCCTGAGCAGGCCTCCTATCTCAGGGCTTCGATCTGACTCCGTCTCCCATGTAAGCTCTCCTCTGATTGGCTGCCGGCGTCTCATGAATTATAGATCCAGATTCTACATTGGACGAAGGGTGCGTGGCTGGTGCTAGTCCCGTCCGTCTCCTCCGAGCTCCCGATTCCAGAGCGGCCGGTTGGGGGGGGGGGGAGGGGGCAGATCACGTGATTTGCCATCCGCCGGTCCAGCCGTTCATTCCAATGGAGGAGGAGTAGAGGAGATGGAGAGAGGAGAGAGAGAGAGAGAGAGAGAGAGAGAGAGAGAGAGAGAGAGAGAGAGAGAGAGAGAGAGGGGGGTGGGGGGGCTGAGTTGGGAAGGGGGTTGAAGAGAGATGGATGGGGAAGGAGAGAGAGAGAAAGTAGAGAGAAAGAGAGAGAGAGAGAGCGAAAGATACAGAGAGAGAGAGAAAGAGAGAGAGAGTGAAAGAGGGAGAAGATAAAAGATGCCGCAGTCTCCAGGGGCCGGGTCCCAACAAGGGTCCGTTCGGAGGGCCAATGACGTAGGTGTGACGTCAGACATTAGCATAGAGTTGGACGTTTCGTGCGCACGCCTGGCTTGAGTGGAGGAGACCTTTTCCCCACCCTCTCGTCAAAGGATTTCTTTCAACTCTTATTTTCTCTCACTTTCGGTATGGCTATTTTTATGCCCTTTATTTCGTTTACTCTCTCATTCTCACTCTCGTGTCTTATTCTTCCATTTTTAAAAATTAGTTTAAATTTTCTCTCTTTCTTTTCTTCGATTCATCATTTTTTCTTTCATGTCTATCCATTTTACTAACTGTCTGTCTGTCTGTCTGTCTGTCTGTCTGTCTGTCTGTCTGTCTGTCTGTCTGTCTGTCTGTCTGTCTGTCTGTATCTCTGTCTCTCTGTCTGTGAGTCTGTCTGTGAGTCTGTCTATTTGTTTGACTGTGTGTCTATCTGTATATCTATTTGTCAGTCTGTTTGTTACACTTGCACTGTCCTTGTTCGCATGTATATATCTAAAACGTTGTTTTCTTTACTCTCTCCCCTTTATCTGTCTGTCTGTCTGTCTATCTATATGTGTGTCTGTCTGTCCGTATGCCTTACTGTCTGTCTATCTGCCTGTCTGTTTGTCTGTCTGCCTGTCTCTCCACTATCTCTTTGACTATCTCTTTGTTAGTTCTCTCACTGTCTCTCTCTCCACCTTCCTCCATCTCTCTCTGTCTCTCTGTCTCTATCTCTCTGTCTCTCTGTCTGTCTCTGTCTCTCTCTCTCTCTCTCTCTCTCTCTCTCTCTCTCTCTCTCTCTCTGTCTCTGTTTCTCTTCTCCAGTCATACTTTGTACGGTAGACACCAAAATCTTCAACAAGCACTCAGCATTACCAAGGTCTGACCGAGTCTGAGCTGTAAACTGGTACTCGTAAGTTCCTTTGCACCCATGCATGTGTTTTCAACACACACACACACACACACACACACACACACACACACACACACACACACACACACACATACACACACACGCACGCACACACACACACACACACACACAAAGCACTTATTGAAAATAATACGACTTGTGACTGTCTTGTGAATCATCAGTTCTGATTTTAGTTTAACAGACAATGAAAGCAATGAAAATGAGAGAGAGAGAGAGAGAGAGAGAGAGAGAGAGACAGAGAGAGAGACAGACAGAGAGACAGAAAGAGAGACAGAGACAGACGGACAGATAGATAGATAGATGGATAGATAGATAGATAGATAGATAGATAGACAGATAGATAAATAGATAGATAGAAAAATATCAATATAATATCATAGAGAGCGCGAGAGATATAGAAAGAAGGCGTCAACATTTATAATGCCTAGTGCGTGACATTGTTTTTTGCGCTTTTTTTTTCTAGAAAAAGTTGAAAACGTTGATAAAAAATAAAATATCTTTTGAAATTCATTTCTCTATTGCTTCTCTTGACTGACCTTTCGCTAACATTGTACGCCAGTGAAATCTTCTGGTTCGATCTTGTCCCAAAACTGTACCACATTCTAATCATGATTGGTCGTGTCCTGAAACTATATAACATTTTAATCCTCTGATTTCTATCTTGTCCTTAAACTATACCGCTTTTTCAATTACCTTTATTTCATTTTACCATTAGAATGTCCAATCTCTTAACCTACATTTTTCTGTCTTCCTTCCTGTCTTGATTCCATAAATTAAAGGATCCGTCACAGAACAACGTATTGCGAGAAAAATCACAAAGAGAGTGGTATTTCCACTTTGTTAACACATCTTACACTGCTATGTGAGAAACTACTTTTTTGGATTAAAACAAAAAGGGAAAAAAAATTCCTAATTAGAATTTGGATTACAATGAAAACTGAATCGAACAAGCGTGACTTGAATGACTAAAATTGTCTTTTTTTTTGTCCCTTGCCCTTTTCTACGATATTGACGCCGTCTGATGAGTAGAAACATTTGCGAGTGATAGTGTCCAATAATGTATTACGTACATAATTGTCATAACATATAACTGTTCAAGATAATTATATAGATGTTTGTGAAGGATCTGAGAACAATGATGATCTTAGAAATGACGGTGGTGGTGGTGATGTTTAGTGAGGATATGGGATGGTGCTTATGTATATAATTTTTAAGAAGACATGCTCCTGTTAGTTTGTTTTTTTAAATATTCGTGTTAGTCCGATCTTCCTCTGCTCAGATGAGTCACGAGGGACTAAATGTTCTATTAAACTAACTTTACAATAATCATATTACTATTTGGAGGGATAAAATTAGTTACTTGAATAGAATAGAGGTTTTATCAGTTAAACATGATATTCCCTCGACAACATTTTGTCAACTTTAACATGGTATTACCAAACTTGTTCCTCACCAATTCTATCAAACTGTTCTTAGAGCGTCGTTCAAAAGTGTGTCTTTTTTACAGCCAATTAAATACAAGGCATGGATGCACTCCTGTGCCCACTACGCCCTTAACCGATTTGCACACATTTAGAAAAAGAAACCAAAGTGTGCAGCTGTATTGATTCATATCTTTTGTTCGACCTTTTAAAAAAAACAAAAAAAACAACAACAACAACGATCCAACTAAATGTGAACGTGTTTTTTCTATGTTTGCTGTTCGCTCCATCATTTTTATTTCATCCATAGTATAGATTTATTGTACTAAAAGGAGAGGTTTTTCCATTCTTTTTTTCTTATCCGCGTCTTTTTACAATCTGATGCATTTCTTTCTCATCCATTTTACAATCTGAAACACCCCCTCCCTCTTTTTCTCTCTCTCTGCGCCTTTCTCTCTGTCTCTCTGTCTCTCTCTATCTCCCTTTCTCCCTCTCTTTTTTTCTTTCTTTTTTTCCTTTCTCTCTCTCTCTTCTCTCTCTCTCTCTTCTCTCTCTCTGTCTCTTCTCCCTCTATCTCTCTGTTTCTCTCTCTCTCTATCTCTCCGTCTCTCTCTCCCTCTCTCTCTCTCTCTCTCTCTCTCTCTTGCCCCCCCTCTCTCCCCTTTGTTGAGAGGTATTTTTATTTTCATTTCCAGGAACCGTCTTTGGCAAAAGACAAATACGTCTCCATTTGCATTTTGACAGATTTCTTCTCGATGTCTTCTGTGAATGACGCAAACAGCAATTGGCCCCACTCTCCATCTCAACCGTCACGGAGATTTGTGCCTTTCTAAATGTGTGAGGCGTCATGGTGAAATCAGGCGTTCGTCAAAATAACAAAATCGGAGACAAAGGCATTTTACCATCATTTTGACAATTTTAATAGACTAGTGTTTCTTTTTTGGCTCAACCCCTTCTATGTCGATGTGAAAACACATTTCCATGTGAATTTGAGTGAAAAACGTTGATTAAAGGCACGGAATATGTCATTTTTCAATTTTCAAGGACTCTTCAGCTACCTGAGTTACCAAACTTTGGCAGCCATTTTTTCGCTTATTGCAATTTCACCACTGAAACCAGGCGACCTCAACTCCTTCAATCGCAAATATCTTGACTTCTATTCAATACAGGTGGGTATTTTTTCTTTGAAAGCTAGGCAAATGAATACACTTTCAGATGGTACCAATAATTCCACATGCCCAAAAATTGACGAGCGCCTGATTCCACCAAGTCGTGACCCATATCCCCATTCTTCTCAAGCCCTTTTTTATCCTCAGCATTTAACTCTTTTCGGTCATGTATCCTTCCAACGCTCATATATCAGTGCCGGACATGGTCCCTAACAAAAGCCCTAGAGAGGAAACTGGTCACATGCGAGATGAAATGCTTAAGAAGAGCGGTCAACAAAACAAGAAGAGACATAATTAAAAATGAAGTCATACTGGACACCATGGGAAAACACCAGTCCTACCACACATTGAAAAACAAAAGATCAAGTGGTTCGGACAGCTCACGCGGATGCCCTCAAACCATCCAGCTCTAAGAGCATACAACACTAAATATTCTGGATGGAGAGCCAGAGGAAGACCAAGGCGACGATGGAGTGAATCTGTGGCAGACACCCTCAGAGCTCACGGGATGTCCCTCCTACAGGCCACTCGCCTTGCTGCAGACAGACACCTGTGTCTCCCTGCGACTCCCCCCGGTACAAGCGGAGGAAAAAAATAAAGTAAGTAAAGTACCGTTTGCTATATCATGCTCTTTGAATAATACTAGTAAGTCTTCTAACTCATTCGTTCTAACTATTCTCCCCTTTCTCTGTCTC